TTGCACGTGTCTAATTTTGGGAATTTTTAAATTCACTTTGAATTCCCGACTACTAACACTTTATTGAATAACCCTGTATTCTTTCAATACGTTTTCTATGCACAGTAGATTCAGACTTTTTTTGACTGGCTCATATCCTATTAGAAATACTATTGGAGTATTGTTAAGATAGTTCAATGCCAAAATGTGGCGATTTTGCATGTTTCTGAATGTTATTGATCTTGTGTTTCACTTTGTAGAATCGTTCGTTATTTTATATATTCTTCTATTAACTACTCTTCATGCTCACTCAATATACAGGAAGAGTTGCTATAAAGTAGAATCTGGTATACATTGTTAATTCCAGGGAGAGAAATGCCATTAGTTATTTAGGAAAACCTCTGTATTTAAATAAGGCTTTCTGAGTTTGGTGTGTACGTCCTCAAGCTATGCTGGAAACAAGTTATTCTGGGGTTATCATCAAAAAGATAATAATATAAAATAAATGAGAAAAGTTATATCAAAATAAAATATTTTATCTTTCATCTGCCATGGCACAAAACCTATCCAACTTAGCAAATGTTAGCTCTACAGAATATTATGCAATCTTTGCATCAAGATCTTTGCAATGTTATAGTAGGTCGAAGAATATTGTCTCCAACTGTACATGGAGCTATGCTTTCAAATGTGAAGATCATTCTTGCAAATACAATATTTTGGTTTGTAGCTAAAAATATAAAAAAACAAAACAAAACCAATAGAACCCCAGTTTTTGAAACCTTTCTGTCAAGCAGCATACAATTAGAAGATATCTTCTCGGAGCTTGCTGAATCTAGGCCATGGTGCAGGGTTGCTGTTGAGTGTCAGCCTGCAGGCTTTTAGCTGTGCTTCTTCCTATCATGGATGCTATAATTACGTCTGGCTGTGCACAATGTTTCTTCCCGAAAGATCCTCCTTCACAGAATGAATTAACCACCCTGCTGTGTACGGCTGAAACATTATTTTTCTCATTGTTACTCGAGGGCTCCTAGTGTCACTTTCTTAAAAAATACCATTTAACAGGAAACTGGGTGTTTAGCATTGTACTAACCTGTCTGCCTATCATTGACATGCTGTGTGAATATATGTTTGCAAAGAACAATTCTATTTTATTTCTATATAGTCCTAAATAGCTTATAATCTCTCTGTATATTGTTTATACTCTCTGTATATCATCCATAATCTCTATATATCACCCATAATCTCTATATACCATGCATTATCTCTGTTAATAATCAATTATCTCTATATATCAATACTCTCTATATATTGTGCATTATCTCTGGAAATCATATATATGCTCTATATATCAATTACACTCTCAATATATCATCCATTCTCTCTATATATCAACTATACTCTCTATATCAATATAGCAATTATACCCTCTATATATCAACTATACTCTCTATATCTCATCCATGCTCTCTATATATCATCCATTCTCTCTACATATCAACTACACTCCATATATCAATTATACTCTAAATATATCAACTATACTCTGTGTGACGGAACCAACCTTGCCACTGGTCATTGGAGAAGCCTGTTTGCCCGCCTCCTGCCATGTGATTATGGTCCCTGGAAGATCTGGCCCTTTAAATACAGTATTTGGGCATATTGTATTTTATTGTGCTGTTTCTGGCCCTTTAAATACTTTGGGAAAGGACCTGCAGTTTTGGCATGGCACTTCGGATGCAGCCGAAGTGCCGAAGTAGTCGAAGTGGCCACCATTAGAAAACTGAACACGTGGCGGCGGCCACTTTGATTCATTCGAATGCAGTCAGCGATGTGTACCGTCAAACTCATGGAACTAAAATCGGCTACAGAATGGCACAAACACCGCTGAAGTTTTACCTTCCCTGGAACTAATGCATTCGACAGTTCATTCTGCAGTTCATTCCACAGTACATTCGGTTGTTGTTCGTCTGTTTGAACTGACTTTAACATGGGAAATAGACCGGCCGCACAGCCCAAATCTATGGAACTGTTTTGGGCATGAAAATGTGCTTGCGGTTGGTCATAAAGCACTTCCAGCTAACTTTTTAACCCCTGGATGGAATTGGCTGAATTTTGACTATGTTTATAATTAAAGTGTGCTGAATAATAATATGTAATTTTTATGAAGATTTAATATATTTTAAGTTACAGTACATGTGTAAAAACTGTATTTCTCTGCCTGTGATAATTACATCAACCCATTGTGTAAGGTAATTGTATCACAGGCAGAGGGGAGGATTTTGTGTGGGAGTGTCTGAGTGTATTGTACGCATTGATTGGTTGTTCTGCAAAACCCTGTGGGCGGTACTATGTTTGTAGAATGGGCATAAAAGCAGAGTGTTTGAATAAAAGCTGAGTTCTACTTCACCCTCAATTTGTAGTGCCGTCTCTTATTGGGGGAATCTGCTACAAGGGATTACAATGCTCTGCATATTACCTTGCTATAATCACTACTAAGTTCTTTTAAGAGCTTGTTCCTGTTCTGCTACCTGAAGGTGGTTATGGTGTCTACTGGAGTGCTTGGAGTCCTCAGGAAGCGCTAGGAGCATCCTTCAACAGAGGTACCCAGTTGGGGTGCCAGGTGATCCATTACACTCAGTATATATCAACTATACTCTTTAGATATCAATATATCAATACTCTCTATATATCAGTATATCAATTATACTCTCTATATATCAACTATACTCTCTGTATATCAGGATATCAATTATACTCTATATATCAATTATACTCTCTATATATCAACTATACTCTCTGTATATCAGTATATCAATTACACTCTAAATATATAAACTATACTCTCAGTATATCATCCATTGTCTCTATATATAAACTATACTCTGTATATATCAACTATACCCTTTATATATCAATATATTAATACGCTCTTAATATCTATATATCAATTATATGTCTCTATATCAACTACACTATCTGTCTGTCTGTCTATCTCTCTATCTATCTACCTATCTATATTTGTATTTATTTATCTGTCTATCTATCTTTTTTATTTATCTATGTATATATAATATACATTCCCTCTTTGATTTGTTTTACTGTTTTCTATCCATTGTCTAAATGTCTTCAATTCTCTTCTCCCACACATGCATTGCTACACATATGGACTTTCACACCTTTTCATATTTATCTTGAGACATGCATACAGGCACATTGTATAATGTGAAAGTAAAGATCAAAATCTACATGAAATACCCTAGGCATTAGGTTTCAGATGAATCACTATTTATCAGAACTTTGGGCAATTGGCATTTCGTCCAAATACCGAAACACAAGACAAACGACACACCATTTTGACTTAATATTACCCTAGGCATTAGGTTTCAGATGAATCACTATTTATCAGAACTTTGGGCAATTGGCATTTCGTCCAAATACCGAAACACAAGACAAACGACACACCATTTTGACTTAATATTGTTGGATGAGCCTTCTGAATGATTTAATATTTTTGTATCATCTCTTCAAAATATTGAAATATAAAACATATTGAAATACATCAATTTATCAAAAATAACTAAATTTAATAGAATGTAAAGAGTTTTTCGTGCTATTAATAATTGAAATAATTTATCAACACATTTGAAATAATTTGCACCGTTCATCCAACTATATTAAATTGAGGCCTTAGGTTTGCCAGTTTCCCAATGACATGGGCTGTATCTTCTGTACAAAATTTTATTTTTATTTTTTTGGACAAATCAATTTGGATGCACCACATTTTTTTGCCATACTCAAGTCTATTAGAAGCTAGGTAGAGGACATGTAGGGTATACAGATATGTACCGGCTGGCTGCAACATGGTGGAGTCCACTGGCATGTATTCCTCACAGTACCCACTAACAAGACTATCCAACAAGGCACACTGATGGGCCCTCTCTAAGGTAGGACAAAACTAGCATTGACAATGCTAAGGTGGTCATTTTACCTCATCAATGCAGGCAAGAGGAGGGAAGTCTCGTAGTGCCAAAAACAGCCCTAATGTATGCTATAGCTTTCATGTATGGCTAGATTACTTAAAATTTCCTGATTGTTGACATTTATCAAATATCTAGTATGTCAATTAATAAATCAATATTTGGAAGATATACTGTAAATGTTGCAAGGAGGAATTTACCTAAACTGTAAACTTTTGCTAAATTCAGTATTCTGAGACTATACATTTAGCATCAATCACTAAATGCAAAACGGCTACGCAAAATTACATGTTTTTAGAAGTAGACCACCTGGAATATTTATAGAGGTGTATTATCAGAGAAGGAGTAAGATCCCATGGAGTCCTAGGAATGCTACTAGTTTGCCCCCTCCGCCCCTTTTATTATTCACATAGTAATGGTTAATAGTTTAGGAAAATTTATGGTTCAGAGCCACGGGCTAAACCATGGGCCCTAGACAGCTTCCTAGAGTCACCTTATGGTCAATTTGCATGGTAATCATTTTATCACTAATCAAACCTATGGTTAAATTTCTTTTTTTTTGTGATTTTCACATTCAACATTTTCTAGACATTTATTATGTGACATTATATATTGTAGACACAAAATGTATTCAGGGCCGCCATCAGGGGGTGACAACCATGACCGTTGTTACGGGCCCGGCGGCCCTGGGGGCCCAGCCGCCCAGGCCCCATGTGGAGCGGCGAAGCCATTTATGTCTCAAAATGTCTAAATGTATCTATCTATCTATCTATCAATCTATCTCAAAATGTCTAAATGTATAATGTCAGCAACTCCTATTCTGCCCATTGTACAGTAATTCAGGATATAAAAGTGATGTATAAATAAATATAGTATATTCCTCTCTTAAACACTTATTTTAGTCAATACTTGTAACCTGCAACTTTGGAATCTGGGTATTCCAGGGGTTTACAGCAATCTTTGAGATAATCATTAAATGGGACACAAATAGACTGCAACTCCCTAGTGGGTGTTTTTAAACATTTTTTCTGTTAATCTGTCAGCGGATTGCTGGGGACTGAGTGCCTGCAAACCCTATAACGGAAGCTTTTTGGAGCTGTAGATTGTCTGGTAAAATAATGTGAGTTTGATAATGCAGACACACAATGCAGACTATATATATTGCTTACATTTCTTTTTCATCTATGTTTCTTCTATTATTGTTGTTATTATTATTTTTGGTATTTAAATAGAGCCAAATGTACAATATTAAAAACGAGGGTATTTTAACACTAAGTGGGACAATTACATAATGTTACAGTAACAATAGATTGATGAGAACCCTGCTCAGGTGAGCATACTATGTTTACTTTTTAGAGGATCTACAACTTACTTGGGGAAAAAATTCCATCTGGGGCTCCCTGCAGTACAAGGTTAAGTAGGATCCTGGAATAAGGCACCTGTGACAGGGAGGGGTACAAAACCAAGGAGTTGGCCTAGACTCCCAAATATATATTTATTAAAACTGGGGGCTGCACTCACCTGAACATGCATTAATAATTGCTGCTGTATTTAGCCTTGTACTGCAGAGAGCCCCAGATGGAAGTATTTCCCAAGTGGGTTAATCTCATAACAGCAAGCCTTAGGCTGTTACAGTAGGACCTGCCAAAAATGGGGTACAGTGATGTTGTGGCAGACTTATGCAATGTATGATCATATAATGTAACTAATCCCCCCTTATTTGTGCCTAGATTAGTTTTTTTTTTAAAAACTAATAAAATCTGTGAGATTTGAAGTTGCTGTTTAGTGGATGAGTGAGTGCGCTGGATCTTGTGTTTTGTATAAATTGGCCCCCAGCAGCACCCCCATTTATGCATGTTCATGTGAGTGCAGCCCGTGGTTTCATATATATAAATATATTATTAAAAAGACACTATGTAGGTTATCATTTGTTTACTTATTTAAACACCATGTTAGTCATACTTGCATATATAATACATAATCAGATATAATACCTTTAAGATACATAATGCATACACAACTAACCACTCACAAATAACCAATTAGCAACAAGCTACTTACACACTTGTGAATTAAGTATGCCCTCTCTTCTCCTCCACTGGTTGGCGGTCAGGAGGGAGTTGAAAGTTGCACTTCTATAAGCATGAATGCAGTCATATATTCATAACACTTCAACTCCTCATTCTGACCCTATATACCTCACAAGGTGATCTGGGAAAACTGTTTCTGTTGTTAGATTCTTTAAAGAATGCCCAGAGATCTTTTCGGTCATGTGACACTATAGTCGCCAAAATAACTTTAGCTTAATGGAGTGGTTTTCATGTATAGATCATGCCCCTGCAGAGTCACTGCTCAATTCTCTTCCACGTTAGGAGTTAAATCAATTTGTTTATACAGTCCTAGCTAAACCTCTCCTGCATGTGACTTATACAGCCTCCCTAAACACTTCATTTAAAGTGAGATTTAAAGGATCTTTAAACTTCCTTTGCTACACAGTGTGTTTAATAAAAAAATATATGATTTCCTGCACTGTTAATGGCTTTGTAGACACTGCAGGAGCAGCCTGTGTGTGATTAACAGAGCAGAGGATACTAACTTCTGAAGTAAACACACTGTGCTGTCAGATCTGATCGAAAATTACTTTTTCATGTAGGCTGTGTGAGTTACAGACAGGAGAGGTGTGGCTAGGGCTCCATAAACAGAAACAAAAGTGATTTACAGGGACACTATAGGCACAGAGACAACTTCATCTCATTTAAGTGGTCTGCGCAAAGTGCCCCTGTCCCCTTAACCCTGCAATGTAAACCAATACAGTGTCAAAGAAACTGCAATGTTTATATTGCTGGGTTAAGACAACCTCTAGGGCTGTCTTATGTGAAATTATGTTGGACATAATCACACTTTGTATAAGGATGTACAAAATCTTCACCCATAGGAAAGCAATGATGTAATGCTTTCCTTTGGCAAAGCTCTAATGCACATGGAGAATGAGCATTAGGTTCCCCCATTGGCGTGATGTTGCAGAAAGAGGAGACTGATCCAGTACTGAGGGAACTTGGTGCTGGAATCTTTCAAGTGTACAAAGGGTAAACTATTCACTAAATTGTAGTGTATAAATTGAAATGACAATAAGATGGTACAAAGAGCCAAATTGTGTCTACACTTGTGCATTATTGCTTTACAGCTGGTATAAACAAATCAAGTTATTTTTAGTCTATGCCTAAATAATTGATCCATCTGGGATTATGCTTAAAGAATTGATCCATCTGGGACAATGCCTAGTCTATGCCTAAAGAATTGATCCATTTGGGACTATGCCTAGTCTATGCCTAAATAATTGATCCATCTGGAACTATGCCTAGTCTATGCCTAAAGAATTGATCCATCTGGAACTATGCCTAGTCTATGCCTAAAGAATTGATCCATTTGGGACTATGCCTAGTCTATGCCTAAAGAATTGATCCATCTGGGACTATGCCTAGTCTATGCCTAAAGAATTGATCCATCTGGGACTATGCCTAGTCTATGCCTAAAGAATTGATCCATCTGGGATTTATCTGTGGAGTCTTATTCCTTGATAAGAATTCAAAGGTAAATCCTGAACCACTGAAAAACTGTGAAAAAAAATACTTTTTACACTACACTAGAAAAGGTACTTAGGTATCCAATCCCCATTCAACTTTAGAGGGAAAATATGCCATGAGATACATGAAAAAGTACTTATCTCTGTTTAAAGACGGTAAAACAGGGAGAACAATCAAATCTGTTTGCTAACATATAGAAATATTGCTGTATGCATCACTCATAATAGCCAATGATCACCCTCAAAGTAATAATAACACAACAGGGTACAGATTCTAGAATTATGAAATACACTGTGCACCTCTAGCTCAATACAATGCAGCAACTATCAATAATATGACCATATAATCAGTAAATAGTAGATAATAGTGAAAAATGAACAAAAGCTTAAAAAGACTCAGCAGCTTGCACCTCGGTAAATCCCCGCTCACTTATCACAAGTGAGCAAACACTAATTTGAGACCTGAGCTCGGATTTACCGAACGGCAAGCTACTGATTTTCTCTAAGCTTTCGTCCATTCTCAGGGTTCTCAGATTCTCTGTTTTTGTTGCAATGCATTACTTGGCTCTCCCCAAGTTAAAATGGTAATCCAGACGTGGACCCTGTGCTCACTGTGCGTAAAAGAGTTTCTGTGTGTAAATGGGGCCCAAAGAAGGCCAAAACAATCGTCTTGGGTTGCTGTTTCTTTCGTGCAGAGAGAATTTGCCGGCATTTTGGTTCTGGACTGCTTTTATGGATGTGATTAGTCTCAGAATATGTTCTTTCTGTAAAGTGAGCAAAACCTATTTTGAGACCTTAGCGTGGCAAGCTACTCAGTTTCTCTAAGCTTTTGTCCATTCTCAGAGCTCACATATTCTTTGTTTTTGTTGCAATAGTGAATGATAGATAAAAGAATATTTGGTATGAAAAAACATCAAATATATTACTTTTTCACAAAAACATATCAATTAAACTGTTAATGGCTCAAAAAAATCCCAATAAGTCTTCATTGAATACTATTCTACCAATCTACTTTCCTAATATGTCCCTTACCTTTTGTGTCACTTTACCCCACTCCGTCTAGCATAGAAACATAGAATATGACGGCAGATAAGAACCATTTGGCCCATCTAGTCTGCCCAATTTTCTAAATACTTTCATTAGTCCCTGGCCTTATCTTATAGTTAGGATAGCCTTATGCCTATCCCACGCATGCTTAAACTCCTTTACTGTGTTAACCTCTACCACTTCAGCTGGAAGGCTATTCCATGCATCCACTACCCTCTCATTAAAGTAATACTTCCTGATATTATTTTTAAACCTTTCTCCCTCTAATTTAAGACTATGTCCTCATTGGGCAGGGCTCTCACCCGCTTTGTTTCAGTGTGTCAAACTTGTCTGTTTACAAGTACATGTTTGTTAGTCCACCCACTGTAAAGCGCTACAGAATTTGTTGGCGCTATATAAATATAATAATAATAAAAATATTAAAAAAAAAATTTCTTCTCAACTAAAACCAAAAATATAAATGTAATGTACAGTGCAGATCAATAAAATCTAAATTACATAAAATATAATTAAAAAAAAAAGCACACTCCCAAAATAATCTTACTCACAAATGGAGAATGTCTTGTAGTGCCACTATGGACTGTTGTGCCTGGGGAGGATCATGTCCATGGGGAGCATTGGGTTTACAATCCTATCACTTGCATTCACTCCAAATCTAGAATAAGGATACAGTATAAACTTTATTCAGCACTTTATGCCATTAACTCTTGCCGCTGTATCTTTTTGCTCCCTCCTTCCGAATCAGCATGGTGACGTATCACTTAATCACTCAACCTCCCCCTGGGACTTTGTCATGTGATCCATCCTCACTGACACAGTTATATACAGTGTGACAACACTGTTTATCTCCCTGATCACAGGTTATTTATCACAAGACATCTTGGTAGCATTTACACAAAATCTTAACTGAGCTGTAATATAGATTCAAAATGAATCATTCCAAAAAATATACAAAATAACAAAACTTAAATAAAGACAGTGAGTCAGTTTAGTAACTTAAAAATATATCAAATGTAAAAATATGATAAAAATGACAAAGTTCAAAATCTCTGTTTAGTCCAAATAATAAATCACCCTAATTTCTTTTTTCAAACTGCTCGGATCCTGATTGTGAAATCTTTTAAAGTGTTATGGCACACTGTGGCTCTCCACACCCTAATATTATATAAATGCTCAGATATTCTCCTGTATAGAGGTCTAGTTGTTCTACCCATATGCTGTACGTTTTAAGGACATTCCAATTAATAGAGAACACAATAGTTTGAGTCAACATAGATGTAAATTACTAATTCTCCTCTCCTTGTTGGTATTTTTAACTTTGCATCCCGAGCATGTCCTCACTTAAAGGGACACTATAGTCACCTGAACAACTTTAGCTTAATGAAGCAGTTTTGGTGTATAGAACATGCCCCTGCAGCCTCTCTGCCATTTAGGAGTTAAATCACTTTGTTTATGAACCCTAGTCACACCTCCCTGCATGTGACTTGCACAGCCTTTATAAACACTTCCTGTAAAAAGTAATCTAATGTTTATCCTTCCTTTATTGCAAGTTCTGTTTAATTTAGATTTCCTTATCCCCTGAGATGCTAATAGCTTGCTAGACACTGCATGAGCATCTTGTGTGTGATTCAAGTTCAATTTAAAGAGCAATAGATAAAATTGTTTAGAGTCAATTACATCTGATTGAAAGTGAAACCAGTTTTTTTTTTTCATGCAGGCTCTGTCAATCATAGCCAGGGAAGTTGTGGCTAGGGCTGCATAAACAGAAACAAAGTGATTTAACTCCTAAATGACAGTGAATTGAGCAATGAAACCGGAGAGGCATGATCTACACACTAAAAATGATTCATTAAGCTAAAGTTGTTTAGGTGACCATATTGTCCATTTAGCCCCTTAAGGACACATGACATGTGTAACATGTCATGATTCCCTTTTATTCCAGAAGTTTGGTCCTTAAGGGGTTTCTCGATATTTAAAAAGTACCTTGGTGTTTCTTTCTTTAAATCACTTTTTACTGAACTTGTTTTAGAATTTGTGGCACCTCAGAATGTGATCATAGGTTTATCAGATAATACCTTTATAACAGACTTCCAAAAAAACTCTGCCCATCCAGTTGTTGCTGAACTACAACTCCAATGATTTTCATTCATAGAATCATGGGAGTTGTAGTTCAGCAACAACTGGAGGGACAGAGTTTTGGGAAGCCTGCTATACAAGATCCTCAACCAGTCTTAACATATCTTTTTAATTTTATTGTGTTCTTCTACTATTCACAATTAATAAATATTTTTGCTGAATAGTAATAACCGCATTAAAAGCTTTTTCCAGAATTTCATCTGGATAGTTTTATCCAGATGATATTCTGGAAAAGGCTTTCAATTAAGTTATTGAAAAAACATATTAGGAAAAGTGTGGAGAACACTTTAAAAGATTTCACAATCAGGATCCAAGTGGTTTAAAATTTGTGCTCATGAAAAAATGTTCATAAAAAGTGGAGATGATAAGAATTTATTAAAATAAAATAATCAAGAAGAAAATAGGTGGATTTATTATTTGGAAACACTGACACCAACTGGTCTAAACGTAGATTTTGAACTTCATAATGTTTTACAATTTTTATATATTTCTATATTTTGCAATACATTTTTTCTCTTATTTTTTTTCTCTCTCTTTTTTTATTTGATTTTTTTAATATTTTTAACATTTTAGACAAACTGCCCTTTAGTTTTTGCCATTTACTATAGATAGTCTGGGCATATATGATTCTTGCTTGTGTTAAATATACCTTTTGTTAGGTCTCTAAGTTTATATATTTTTTATGTTTTATTTTAAATATTTTTTATGTTTTTAGTTTTTTTAGAATTCGTTACTTAGGTATAGGAGCAACTACTTAGAATAGAGATAATAATAAGCTCCTTTGTATTTCTACAAAATGCATATATCTTTTGAGTTACTAAATTGATTCACAGTTTTTATATGTGTCTCATTTTTTTTGTATATTTTGGAGGGATGCAATTTTAACCTGTATTACTGTGCAGGTAGGGTTTTATGTACAACGCTACCAAGATGATTTGGGATTTTGACTATTTGAAGTTGTGTCAGTGAGGATGGAGGGTGTGGTGTACTTGACAAAGCCCTGGGGAGAGGGGAAAAATGCGTTGCATGATATGTCACATCACTTATTCGGTATGAGGAGGAAAAATATACGGTGGCATTCGTGACTGCAGACTGCTTGCTTCAGAACTTTGTTTGGGAACATTCATGCTCCCATGGATCTGATCCTTCCTGGACAACAGTGTGGAGTGACACTGCAAACCACTGTTTTGAGCAACATTACTTTTTTATTATATTCTATGTAATTTAGATTTTATTGATCTGCACGAAGTACATTATATTCATACTTTAAGGTTTACTTGTGAAGATATTAGTATCGTATTTTTTATATATTTTTTTTTTTTTATATCTTTGACATTTTTGTAAACCTATAGTCTCTTATCTATCATTCACTGATCACCCTCTAGTGGTGATACAGAGAATAGCATACCTTTTAAATAATGTTTAAAATCCAGTAGGGAGGGATGCATTGTTATAGAGAGGAAATTTTGTTGCTATAATATTTTCGCAAATATTCCTGCCATGTTGCTTGCTACATACCAATTACAACGTTTCACTAAATTAGAAATGTGCTTAAAATGAGTTGTAAAACTTAATTGTCTAAGAAGCATATTCTAGAGTCATTAGTATCTGCAGATACATTGATTTGTTGTGATATAGTATACATAAAATAACACCAACACTAAAAAAGATGAAAATGCATGAATACATTAAAAATAAAAATGTGGTTATGTCAAACGTTTATCATTAAGATTTCAATTAAAGGTATTTTCTATGCACTATAAACCACTACAATTACTATAACTGCATTTGGATTACTTTCTTAAAATGACACTTTAGGCAGATCAAAATAAAACAAACAATCTTTTATTAATCCCTCTGCTTAGCTGCAAGCTTACCTACAGTAGACTGAACTTGTGTAGTATCTTAAATGCACCTTTAAATGTGTTAATCTTTTTCAAAATATTCAATATCATCCTATTCTCGCGTGACTTTTACTCCTGTTATAAAGCAAAATCGAAGGGGGTCTCTACCTTAGTGAGCTGGGATGTCTCATTCTCCTTGATGTATAAAGTTAGCAACAAAAATGGACGCTTTACGCTTCTTCAATGTTATGCCAATAATGCCCCATTTACATTGGTGCATGTTTACAGTCCTCTTCACAATCAGTTATATCTTTTAATAAATGAGTTTGCTTTAATTAATGTGCATACATTTGGAGAGGTAATCTTTGGAGGTGACAAAAAAAGTTTTATTAGATGCGAAATCAGACTCCTCCTCATATAAAAAAAAGGAGTGCCGGGCAATGCTCTGTGTAGACTCAGCACTATAACAGAACTCTGTAATACCATTGCAGTGCACAGTTTTTAAGACCCATAGTGGGTGCTTGTTAGGGACCAGAAACCAGACAGAGACAGAACATAGATGCAAAACACCTTTATTAATAAATAGCAACAAATTAAATAACCCAAAAGCAAAGTGCAGGAGGCAAGCAGGGGTAAGGCACCAAAGCGGGTAGTGAGACGAGCCGGAATGAGGAGAACGGAGAGCAGCGGAGTCAGGAACAAGACCAGAAGTCAGGAACCAGGAATACACAGGAAACACAGGAAACAGGAAGTCTTCTGGGAAACAGGAAGTCTTCTGGGAAACAGGAAATCACGCAAGGGCAAGGAGGTACTTGAACTTGCTGCTTTAAGAGGCTGAACTAATAAGCGTAAGGGCTGGCTACTAACAACCGGGTGAGTAACCGTGGAAACAGTAATAAGGGAGCTGACCATAAAAAGCAGCTGAACAGTTTAGACGTAGAGGAGGAAGTGCTACATCCCACAGAAGTTGATTATACCTTCCATTCACAGGTTTAGAAGATGTTGTCTAGGATTGACCGATTTCTTGTCCACAGTTCCTTACTACCCAAAATTCTTTCTTCCAGATAGGACTAATCAGCGGGTCTGATCATGCCCCCATCAATATCACTTTCAGAAATCTTTCCTAATAATGGTTATGGATCCTGGTGTTTAAATGAACACTTATTACAGATCCAACTATTGTTTCTATATGGCTGGCTTTGTCAGAGGCCTGTTTCTTAAAACAACTAACTACACCAGAAAACAGCAAGAACAACATTATTTAACTATTATACGGGAGTTGACTAAATTAACTCATCAGAACAAGTCAAACCCCTCCCCCACCACTTACTCGCGACACCTTTCCTTGGCAATCTCAACTCCATGAGATTCGGTTATCTAAATCCACTTTTTTATAAAGATACCTCTAGCTAAATTTTTCACACATGTTAACAGAGCAGGTGTTGTACTAGCTGCCCAACTCAAAACTCATAATGTCACCTCCAGGATTGTCTTTCTACAGTCTGCTGAACATGGTACGTGGCAACTGACATTTAATATGGATAAGTGCTAGATAATGCATCTTGGACGTAAAAACCACAAGGCAGAGTACAGAATATTTGATAGAGTTCTAACCCCAACATATGAGGAAAGGGATTTAGGGGTGATTATTTCTGATGACTTAAAGGTAGGCAGACAATGTAATAGAGCAGCAGGAAATGCTAGCAGAATGCTTGGTTGTATAGGGAGAGGTATTAGCAGTAGAAAGAGGGAAGTGCTCATGCCATTGTACAGAACACTGGTGAGATCTCACTTGGAGTATTGAACTCAGTACTGGAGACCGTATCTTCAGAAGGATATTGATACCTTAGAGAGGGTTCAGAGAAGGGCTACTAAACTGGTACATGGATTGCAGGATAAAACTTACAAGGAAAGGTTAAAGGAACTTAAAGGGGCACTCCAGGCACCCAGACCACTTCTGCCCATTGGAGTGGTCTGGGTGCCAACTCCCACTACCATTAACCATGCAACTGTATATATTTCAGTTTTCATAAACTGCAATAATTACATTGTAGGGTTAACTCCTCCTCTAGTGGCTGTCTACTAGACAGCCACTAGAGGCCACTTCCGGGATTCTAGCACAGGTTTTGTGTGCTAGAGCGTCGCTGGACGTCCTCACGCTGTGTGAGGACCACCAGCGTCACTAAAATCCCCATAGGAAAGCACTGAAAGGCATTGCCACGGATGCGCATTAGGTCTCCCCAGCCGGCGGGCGTGATCGGTCTCCGCTGCCGGATGACGTGGTGACGGGGAGGAGCGTGGGTGGACCCAGAAGCAGCACCAAGGGACAACAGCGCTGCCTCAGGTAAGTCACTGAAGGGGTTTTGACCCCTTCAGCAATCAGGGGTTGGGAGGTGGGAGGGAGAGGGGACCTGCAGTGCCAGGAAAATGATTTGTCTTTCTGGCACTGGAGAGTCCCTTTAACATGTATAGCTTGAAGACGAGACAGGGGGGATATGATACAAACATTTAAATACATAAAGGGAATCAACACAGTAAAGGAGGAGACTATATTACCTACATTTTCATTCATGTATCCATTGGGGGTATATCTTAAAACATTTGCAAAAGCTGCAGTTGTCATGAACTGCAGCCTTGCAAGTCCCCCTTATTGCGAAATCTCTGAGGGTCTCTCTCTGCGCACGCATTGGGGGAGGCAGGCATGCTTAAGTGGAGCGCGCCTGCCACTTTCGTTAGCTCAGGGAAGCTAACTGAAGCAGAAAGAAGCGCCCCTGTTTGACAGCTGGGGGGGATGTTTCATTAATTATTTATAAATTTGCCAAATTGTAATAGAAATCAGTACTTTTATAATCTATCATTATTATAGGATACTCCTCACAAGTAACCTGCAATGCTTTATGGGTGTGGAGTGGTCATTTAAAAGCTTAAAAGAAACCATGAAAATAACTTTGCTTTAAGGGATGATTATTGTCAATATTCCCAAAAAATGTAACATACACACATTCCACATAGCATGTTAGTTATTTTATGATAAACATGGTTAATAAAATGCTACAAGTCTCATAAGCGTCTTCCTCTATGTTACTACATATACTGTCTAAATAAGGTCATTAGGCATTATAACTGCCTAACTAATTCTCTCTCTCGCTCTTTACGTTATTAGGATGTCCATATGCTAAAGCCCACTAAGTCTTGTATCCAGATATGCTAAAAAAATAATGCACTCATGGGTCATTGTAAAAAATATAAATTTAGCTTTCATTTATAGAACTTTTAGAGCACTCTGATTTTAAATCCTCATTTATATAGCCCTGCTTCTATGCGTCTAGAGACTTTAATGAAAAACTAAATGTTTAGTGTAACAACGTGTTCTTTATTTAGAATTCAGGGTTCTCCAAACCTTGACCCCCCAGATGTTGATGAACTACAAATCCCATGAGTCTCTGGTTATCTATTTCATTCAAAGAATCACGGAAGTTGTAGTTCAGCAACATCAGGACAGCCAGTTTGAAAAGAAACCCTTATAGGTCATGCAAAAGAGTTTACATGACAAGTTGTTTAGCTGGGAGCTAAAAGACATAAACAATAAAAAAAATGTGTTCAAACATTAAACCCGATGGACTTGAGTTTTTTTTAACCTAGATTAGTATGTAAAAAATGCTCGCTTCATGGTTGAGGAGAGGTTGCAACAATAAATAATTGAACATCCTCGATAATCTCTGCATTTATATGTAACAGTACTACATGTTAATCGTGTATTCTGTGTTATAATAATTGTTTTTGCACACCCCTGTTATCCTTCATTTACAATATTTTATATGTATTGAGTGAAGAGTAGGGACGTGATTGTCAGTTTATTAAAACGAATGCAAGGACACAGCGTGCACAATGTGAGATAAAGAAAGCTTAAATAATTGTAAAGTCTTTTCTGATTAATTACATCACACAAAATCTAATAAAAAGGATTAGAGGGTTTATAAAGTTTCTGAGTGGTTTAGAAACTCCAATTCAGTTTATGGATTTTAGATGTATTTTTTTTTTTTTTTTTTGCATTTGGCATAGGGTGCAGAGATTCGTAAAAGTGTTGAATGTAAATTTCATGACAGAATTTCTTAGGAATGATTGCTATACAGTGGGAGGTCCTATTCTCTATCTGCAGATACGTTTTATTTATTTTTGCTTTCTAATTTGTATGTGTACAATTCACACAATCCAGATTATTGTCACATTGCCAATTCACAATAAATTTTCTTAAAGAGTTATTCCAAGCACCATGAAAGATTCAGTGGATTGAACTGATCATGGTCCCAATAATCTATAGGTGCAGCATTTTACTACAACATACTGCACCTATTGAGTTTAGCCCACCTCCAGCAACGTCACTAGCCATCCTGGAAGAAGTGTCCCTCCCATCCGTGCCACCCTTGTTGTCCCCTCAGCCCATCGTCCTCCGTGACATCCATTCCCTTCATTTTTACATTTGGTCAATATTCAGGATTCCCTTCCCTTATCTCTTTTTTTGGCACCACAGACAGAACACTGAATCACAAAGCAAATTAACCTATTCGGCCATTGTCCATCTCGTTTTTCGTGATACTTTCATATGGGGCTTCGGAGTTACATAATTTGGACGCCCAGCTAAAATTGGACGAATTGCAATTTGTTTGAAAATGGAAGCACAAGACTAATGGACACCTTTGTTTTCTTAATTTTTGCTGTATTAAACCATTATTTTATCATATAATGTTCATTTGCTGCTACAGTATAATGTCAAAAGTGAGCCTTTCACCAATTCGGAAAGCCAGTATTGTAAAAAATGTTCTTTAGGATCCTATATGAAATCAGCAAGACTTAACATTTCCAGTGGTTGCATGGCTTTCACCATTGGTGATTGAGATATTGTTCTTGTGTTTTAAAGATGACACTTATTTATAACGTATTTTGTCTTTCAGAAATATCGTTATCAAGATGAGGATACTCCTCCGCACGACCATTCACTGCCGCGGCTAACACACGATCTAAAAGGTCCAGAACTTGTTCACGTGTCTGAAAAAAACTTGTCTCAAGTAGAAAATGTCCATGGGTATGTCATGCAATCCCATATATCACCGTTCAAGGTAAAAGTGCTGGTTCCTGTCTATATTTTCTGATTTATACCTCTAGCACTGTGTGATTTTACTGCTCAGAAATAACTAAAATTGAAAATAAATGCAAAGGAGCTGTTCTGGATATGGTATTATTAGCACTAAGGATTGTGTCTTTGTCTTACTTTCCTTTAGGACTGGAATTATATACCTTTTATATATAACATTTTATATACTTATTGAAATGTTTTATATTTTCTATTGAAATTTTTTATCTTATCATTGTGTCCTATATGAATTATATAGGTGGACATTTCTATGTTAATTTTGATAATTTTTGACAATCATGTAATTTAAAAAAAAAACTAAAACATTTTAATTTCTTAATGTATTATTATAATTTTTTTGTGAATTCATCATTTGATGGGTATTATTATTTTTTTTTGTTATAGATACATGATATCAATATTCTTACTTACAAGCAAATATTTATGACTATAGTAGTTAGAACTGTGTTTGTGAAAGGTTTTACTGGTCTAAATTACAAAGATAAATGCACAATAACAAATGTATATCTATTAAAATTAACACCTATCCATTGAGATGAGCATTTACTTATCTATCGGTCCACCCATTGATCGAGCATCAGCGTCATCAAACTGTCGAGGTCAATGACCTAGAATTAAAGAAATAGAATCTATTATCTCTCATTAATTAAAAATACTGGATATCAATCAATAGTACTGATCTGCTACTTAACAAAATGTAATAATGCATAGCAATGACCATATTGCCACAATTATCCTACTATTCTACTCTTTCATACTGGTAATTCGGTTGTCCAATTGGCATTTAATTGTTTTCTATACTGCTTACACACGTAATTGAATATAATCGGATACATGCATTGCATCAAAATATTGAGCCATATGCATTTTATTAAACAATTCAGTAACTGTTGAAAAGTCCAGTGAAACACATGTACAAAAGAAAAATGGAACCCTTGTAATGATGGTGATTAAATGTTGCCTTCAAAAGACCTTTAAAGCATACACATACAACTAATCTCGCGCTCTGATTAGTTATTTTTTGTTATTTTTCTTCTGTCTTTGTAATTTGTTTGTTTATATACTTAATCACTTACTAATATGAGAAACAAATTCATAGGTTAATTTTGCCTTCTTTTGTAATAAGAAAAAGGAATAGAAAATGTCTTCAGTCTTTGGGTTTGTTTGCGTCATTTGTAATACCCTCATTTTGGTCTGACCTTCTTACATAACTCTCATTATTGGAAGATATTCTGTTGAAAAACCAATGAAGGCTTTCTATTTCAACCAAAACCCTCAACGCATTTCTTGCATTTATTAGTATCTCACAAAAATTGTCAATTTCAACTTGATTTCAATAATATGTGTTTTCCATTGTTTTATCTGAATTCCAAAACTCTAAAATGCCATATGGTCATATCACAGAACAAACAAAATGGGCAATGGGTGAGCCGTTTAATTTGTTTTGTGATTTGGAGTTCCATACGTTAGTGGAAAGCCACTAAATGGGGATATTATTCACAGATCAACAGTGAATATGGCAGCATACTGTGTAAGGCATACCAGGATTAATGCACACATTTTTTGAATAAAGAAGTAAGGCATTAACAGGTTAGACAATCATGTCTAAATTCGGGTCAGAGCCAAGGGTGAGTAAACATGAAGAGAGAAAATAAGACACATAAAGTGAGTATTGTAACACGATTAACTTTGCTAGTAGGTAAGCTTAGCTTAGTAAGTACAGGAGTCCACCCTGTATAAAGTAAGAAAATAAAACAGTTTAAAGAATGCCACATTTCTCATAATGCAGACTCATCTGATTCCCAAGAAGCAATATAGGTAAGCGCTAATTCACAAACAATATGTAGGTAGGCAGCAACCTTAACGAAGGTGATCCCTCCAACCCCTCAAAAGGACACAGAGTAGTAAAAAGACAGGCAAGGCTGCACCAATAAAATATTAAAAAGAAAATAAAGGAGAAACAATGTTCCAATAATAAAAGGTATAGTCCACTGGAATAAGTAATCAAAAATAAAATGTCTCACTAAAATATCAGGATAGGGTGGGGGTGAAATCCTCAGAAGTTTATCCGTCCGGATGGTTTAAAATATCCAAATATGTGGAGAGACAAAAGGGAGACACAACGAATAATAGTGCAATATGGCAAAATCCAGGCATAAAAATCAATGAAGGTAAGTAAAACACTCACATTTAAGAGAGCTATACTAGCTCTGGGATGTAGGGCGTATAGCGGTATAATCCCCGCTAAGCAGATATACGGGAGTTGGACGTCCAACAATACATTCTGGGTATCCAAGGCTCCAACAAATGATAAAAAGACAACAATAGTGCTCTCAATATGATAAAAATTAGATATAAAATAGATAAAATTATACTCACAAATATAGAGCAGGAATTACTGCTCTATTATAAAGTGTTGGTGGAATGATCACAACCTAGGCTTTCTTTGGGTACAGGAACAAAATAAACGTTTGTCAGAAAAGTAGGGCATAAAAGCGTAAAAAGTGTATATGTATAAATTACAATAAAAGAAAAGTTGGTACAATTTAGTAACCAAATACACAATTTAAAACCATAACGCGTTTCACCAAATGTGGCTTCTTCAAATGATTTATCCCATTTGAAGAAGATATGCCAGTTTCGTACAGCCAGCTAAAGAGCCAGGAGAGAAGCCGCCTCATCCTAGTCACACTGCCTGTAGGCCACAAAATGCTCGGTATGGGTATTCTGGTTGAAATAAGACATGAGTGTGGTATGCCAAGATTCACCAAGATCCATTTGGTATACAGGTTGTGCTGTTGCAGCAACATTTTCTAAATTACTTTTAGAGTGAAGGTCACTGCTTTCCTTCCTTCCTAACATCCATATCTCACAGAAATTGTCAATTTCAACTTGATTTCAATAATATGTGTTTTCCATTGTTTTATCTGAATTCCAAAACTCTAAAATTCCATATGGTCATATCACAGAACAAACAAAATGGGCAATGGGTGAGACGTTTAATTTGTTTTGTGATTTGGAGTTCCATGCGTTAGTGGAAAGCCACTAAATGGGGATATTATTCACAGATCAACAGCGAATATGGCAGCATATCTGCTTGTATATCCTTACTATGTCTGCTTCCTTACTGCTCAGATTCCACTGCAGAGTTTAGGGCTTATGGCCCTGAAACAGCTCCTCTCCTCTTATTACCTTAGAGTAATCACTGCTTATGATAATAATTCAAACTTATAATTTCTAAACATTGCTAAATTACAAATCAAAATCTCATGTGTAATGAAATGGAAACTTAGTCTTAAAAACAGAACAATCCTTTATCATAAGATGACACCGATGCATGATTTTTAATAATACACTTGTTCTAAACACTAGCTTAGCAGTGTTGTAAATAAAATAATACTCTGCCAATAATGATAAAAAAACTAAGAAACAAACAAAGAAAAACACACTTTGCCTAATATTTGAACCTCTGGCTTGTACAATCAGCAAGAATGTGAATATTTCTGGTGTAAGATATTGGGACATTAACTATCATAAAAAAGTATTTTCGTTGACGATGTGCTTTTGTCTTGAATAATCTTACTCTCACTATACTATACAATTTTGATATTTTCAGATTCTTATCCAAATGTGAGGTTAAATATTACTGCTCAAGAACAATTTTTTGGACTTATCTATGACATTTCATGCCAGAGGGAATAAGAATTAAATATGACCTTGGATTAAAAATGCTTCTTTGAGGGATTTAATCTATACACTTAATTTTTCAGCGTTATTTCATACATTAAAATCTCTTATGACTTGTTGGACACCATACAATATTTCTCTTATAGTATATGTATATTCTCTAAAAATATTTATACTCCCCAAAATGCTTTATTTCTATAGCACATTGAAAAACCTGGATTCAACAGATGAACTTCAGAAGGTATTACATTTTATGCTGAAGTTTCTGTGGGTGAGGAAAAAAGCACATATATCTTCTAAAAAAATTGTAATGTGCCCCAAGAGTAAAGGGGGTCTCTGAGTACCCAACCCTATCTTATATTACAAAGCAGCCCAATATGCACTGACCCATAAATGGAAGTCTTCTCATGACAGGGCAATTGTGGGCACCTGTTTTAAAGAAGGATATTATGGCACTAGAAAAAAAGTGCAGAGACGAGCTACAAAATTGATAAAAGGAATTGAGCATTTTAGTTTTGAAGAAAGGTTAAAAAAAATTAAATCTCTTTAGCTTGGAAAAATGATGCCTTAGAGGGGATGTGATGACATAATACAAATATATTCTGGACCACTACAAACCACTGTCTGGAAACCTATTCATAAACAGGACTATACATAGGGCATAAGGTCACACATTTAGACTGGAAGAAAGGAGATTTGTCAAAGGAAAAGGAAATGTGTAATAAGAACAATAATGATGTGGACTTATCTGCCTGAAGAGGGAGAGTCTGTACAGATGTTTAAACAGCAATTTAATAAATATTTAAAACATAATATACAGAGATATACTTTTTAATTACTAGGGTAATAGCGTCTTGATCCAAGGAGAGATCTGACTGCCATTCTGGGGTAAAAAAAATTGGAAGAACTTCAGACTGGATTTGTTTCCTTCTTTTGCATCAACACCAAAAAAAATGTGAGAAAGGCAGAACTTGATGGATGCATGTCTCTTTTCGGCTATGTACCTATGCAACTTTATTTAGAGACTATCTGTTATTGACGACAACAAATTCCTGTAGTTTGTGGCATAAACAGGCGTATAGAGTAGGATTATCATCTAAAAACTCAGCTATGACCCCTATTATTGGATGTTCACAGGCATTGTGGTAGAGAAATAAAAATAAATTGACAAAGATATACCTACAACAAATTAAAAAAAATGGTAATAGAATAATAACGTAAAAGCTCATAAAGCAGAAATGGTTTCAAGGTTGCACTCACAAAACTCCATGCAATTTAAACCCATCAATGTAGTGTAAGCTCCAGTTGTTCACGGTTAATAGATATTTGAAGACACATGCAAAGAGAAATTGGAACATAACATAAAATATTAGGATAGGG